TCACTACTTCCTAAACAGTGCATATATTAAAAATTAGATCAAAGTGTATATGAAAACGACAGGATACATAAGCGTTCAGGCAAATGTGTTTTATCTCCGTTATAATGTGTTTATTATATGTTTTATCATAATTTTTTGGTATTATGCTTAATGTGTATGAAACACGTACTTTGAAGCAATGCCTGTGGGGGGGCAATGTTTTCGCACGGCGACACAAATTGGTATGTCTATTTTGTTCCATCCAGGTGCTCATGTTGAAGTGCTGACAGAGAATGAAATTTGTAGTGGTCATTTATTTATCGTTAACATTTAATAAATTAAAAACATCCCTAAAATTTACATAGAGCGCATGGCACGCTTTACCCTTCACAACTGCAAATGACCTGGACTGCAATATTTTAATTTGTAGGTGAAATATGTATGTGAGATGTAAGTTGTTTAAGTAGCAAAACCCCACATTAGAACCAATATAATATAAATCATGGTGTAAACTTTTAGCAAAACTGACAGAAAAACAGTATTACATCATGCTAGTTCTGTCAATCATAACTTGTATTCAGGTGATTATTGTAATCGTTGACACAATCCTACAATTGTGCTAAAAAATGAGACGCTCGCTTACCAGTATTGTGTTGGTGTATTCTGATTATTACCAGTCTAGTGCACAGACAAGCTGTATCACATAACGACTGTTAGACATAGAAAAAAATCTCATGACTTAATATCAGATTGATGGTGATCACTATTCACGGCGTATTCTTACTCAGGAGATCGGGCAGAAATATTCATTAGGTAAACGAAATGCATAATCATCATTATGAGGATCAACCTTGAAATAGAGTTGTACTGGTGACTCACTTTCTCCGTAGATTGTCTAATATTTTTAACATACTTTCATCAGTTAATCCTTATAAATCCGAAGCACTCGTCAAAACGGCTGCAAATGTATTTAATATACAATATACGTTATTGTTACGCTAATCATACTCCATATAGTTCACAGTATTTTTTCACAACTAAATTGGCAATGTTCGTTGTTAAAATCTGAACAGGTTAATCATTGACTGCGATGACACAACGCTTTAGTTATGATGTAACTATTTGTTCAATAATGACAAAACAAATCAACTCTTCATCATGAAACGAGTATATAGTTGTAGGACAATAGTTTGTCCCTTTTTAATGTAATTGCTGTAGCTGGCTAAAATCTTCACATTGAGCAAATGGTATGATAACATTTACAAAATAAAAAACAGTCCTAACATTTTGCCAAAATACTGAAATTAAAGAAGCTAAACATTACCAATTGATAATTATTAGTTTTAGCTTGAACGCAGGAAGTCTTCATTTTCTTCTTGAGATACTTTTATTCCAAAACACCCTTCCACAATGCTTTACCGTTTTTACATTGCAAATAATGCATCTTTATGATGTTAACGGAGTCCATGCAATGACCTGGTTACTATCTTAAATAATTTCAGTTTTGCTCATACTGCAGTAACTGTATGTTATTGAATTCACTTTACATGGGCTCTGGCAGTTCTAGTTCTGATTCTAGCCATTTGTTTCTCTCATAACAGAAATTGTCTCAATGATTACAGGTCAAAAATTGTCAAATTGACTAAATCTAACAAAAACAGTATGGGAAATGCGGTTTGCAAACAAAACATAATTGTAACAAATGCTCCAGGTTACCACCGAATTCATCGCCGATCTATTTTCAGATTTTGAGTTGGTGACCGGAGAATGACATCGTGTAAATTTCCCATAACCCACCGCGTGATTTGTGAAGGATAGAATGTTACAGGTTTTCGACCTGTGACACATACACGACAACAAACGCCCACACCAAATCCGCAAAACAAGCGAAACAGCTACTTTAATCAAACATATGAAACGGCAAGGTCATCTGTCAAAATCATACGAGAAATAATTGCAGAATCATATATCATAAATGTAGCAAACTACAGATTTCAGCTAAACTTTCCGCTTATTTAAATTGTTGTCCAAGAATATGTTCTAGTAAATATGTCCAGTTATTGCCTACAGTTATTGAAAACAATAGCTTAACCATCTTGTGATTTTTAAATTCTATTGGAGTTTGAGTAGTATAATCACGTATTTATTCTATATCGTACAGTAAGAAACAGTTAGATTGCAGAATTAAGTCATAATGTAATGAAATAAAAACTACAGGTTTTCAATGAACTCTTCCCCGTGCTAGAGTGTCAGATTTTTAATTGTGACCGGTGAATGACATCGTTTAAATTTCCCATAACCCATTGCGTAATTCGAAAGATAGAATGCTCCAGGTCTTCGACATGTGACACATACACGCCAACAACTGCACACACAAAATCCTCAAAACAGGTGGGACACATACATCCGCATCAATAAAACTTATGACAATAGTGACTCCCAACATAAATACAAGAGTCAGAGTTGCAATTGGATACGCCACCTACAACTTTCGATGAAGTGCGTGTAGACATTCTCTAAATACGAAGATGTTCCGTGTCGTACTGATCGTTGTAACAATCATTTCACTGGAAAGCCAGGGGGATGTAAGTATATAAAAATATGTTTGGTAAATAACGCGTATTTCCTCACCCGATTGTATTATTCGATCGTTTTCTTCCTTGATTTGTCAGATAGTGAACATTTATTACACCCGATTTTGACTGTAATATTACATTACATTTCCATCGTTTTTACAATATTAATATAACATTGTTTTGATCTCTCAGTCTTTGCAAGAAATATTCTTAGTGCAGGCGGGTTTAATTGACACAGACCCATCACTGATTTGCCAAGCTTTTCGCTGGGCATACCAGTATATTCATCATCAAAGCAAAAATGCATTCTCGTGTCATATTATTATAAATCTATGTCGTTTCAGGCAGCTGTTCCAATTACTACACCTCCACCTCCACGTGAGTATATATAAAACACTATGTTCGCTCACAAATGATTTTGCTAGAGACACAAGTATAAATGTTTATTATCCTTGGGAATGAGATTAGATGTTGGCAATAATAAAAGATCATCATTCCGAAATAAAGTAAAAGATGACAAGAAACAATTGGGATAAGTAAAAACTACTTTCAGTTAGGAATAATTGCAAAAATTTTTACAAATAGTCTATTAATATAGAAGTCAGTCATGTAAAAAAAAGTGGTTCGTTTTACTGTTTATTTTATGACTAGTCGTACAATACAGATTGTTGATAAACGATAAGTGTTAACGAATATGTTTTTTTCAATAGCACCTGATGCTGTAGCATTTTGGCCGCTGAATAAAGAACATTATCTCAACGACACATCTGGTAATGGTAATGATGCTGAGAACACATGGAATAATGTAACCCTGGTCGCACCAGCCAAAGGACGTCAGTGCGGCGCTTATAAATTCCGTGGTAACCCCAGCTCGTATTTATTTTTTCCAAACAATGGTGCTTTCGACACTAAAGGGTCAACAACTATCATGGCGTGGATTTATCCGTTTGGTAGTGCAGGTCCTATTTTCTACTTCGATCCAAATATGACGAATACAGGTGTTCAAATGTCGCAAGTGGTTGATAATTTCTCGCCATCGGGGTTGTCTGCAAGCGTTAGCTTTACTAAACGCGACGCAACTCCAGTAGCAGCATTAGAGACAAACATACCAGCTTTGAATGAATGGTATCATTGGACTGTTATGTACAATAATGACACGAGCAACGGATCTATGTACATAAATTGGACTCTCGCGATATCGGCAAAGTATGATGAAGGAGAACTTGCAACTCAATATGATGCACAAGCAGGCGCAGCATTATTCCCTCAAGAATGGTTTCATGGTTTTATTACTTGTATACAAATTTACGATAGAACAATGACTGAAGCTGAAATTAGGGCAGCCGCGCATAACCCCCTGTGTACATGTCCGAGTAAGATGCAATATAGATTATATATATCATTATAATATGTCGATATTAGTCATTACTATAACAAACTATTTAAGGCATTTTTTGACAGAAATCACAGATAATGCGTTTTAATACATCCTGTCTACATTCTTTCATTGTAGTCGTGACAGGTGACCCTCACATAACTACTTTAGACGGACGTGCTTACAGTTTCCAAGGCATGTGTTGGTATACACTTGTAAAAGACTGCTCTAGCGCCAATCCCGACTTCGAAATCACCGCTGATTTAGCACCACCAAACGAGATCAGTGATCAAATGAGAACCAGAGCTGTTGCCATCAATGTTACAGTCGGAGATGAAAGCGTTGTCGTTGGTCAGGATAATGTAGCAACTGTAAGTACAGCTTTCTTTAATTGCTAGTCTGGTAAAGTCGGGACTTCTTTTTTGTTTTACAAAAAATAATATAATTAATTGTCAATTTAGCCTTTTTAACGTAATCGCGAAAACTAGCGTGACAACGTTCAGATGACATTTTAGAATTAATACGTGATTAATTTATCAATTAGGTGAGTGGTAGCAGTTCTAAAAATATAAACATCGTACATGACGGCAACATGGCACAATTGAGTTTCAAGCAGAAAGACACAACATTCAAGATATTCTGGACTGGAAGTAAACACACTTTTGCTATTGAATTCACTGGTGATTATTATCGCGGAAGAATGTGTGGTCTGCTTGGTAATGGTGACGGTGATGCCAAAAATGACTTCCAGAGACCCGATGGTGTTATTGTAAAGGATGTTACTGAGTTTGGAGAAAGCTGGAAAGTTACTGGCAAAAAGTAAGTATGAAAAACGGAATTCACCAAGAAAGCAATCAGAATATCAAAATAAGTAATCAAACGATTGATAAATAGGATGATTGATTGATTGATTGATCGGTTCGATCTGATACCCATTTTTTCTTGCAGATGTTAGTGTCCACCACAGACAATTCAACACACGATGACCAGTCGCACTATATGAATATTATCAATCAAGCTTAGTGTTGCAGAAATGCATAATTAATTTAAGCCATGGGTTTGGTTTTGGGGTGAATAGTATCAGTTTTCTCTTTATTAGTACAATAAATGGCTTGCAAAAGGAAAGAATAGTGTGTGTGTGTGTTCACTAGCATGTTGTATTGATGTGTGATTACTGATGAGCCACATGTCAAAACAATTGTCCCAGTTGACAAATTGAGAAATAATAAACTATACAATAAGATAACAAAGTTGTACGTACCCCCTTGAATCCACTTGTGTTATTCTGGTAAACTTAGACTCACTACATTGAAAGAAAAAAAAAACGTAAATATTTAGGCGAGACGTAATTTATATATTCAGAAGACATTGTTTGAAATCAATGAAATGGATGACATATTCATCTCAAATCTACTTTTAAACCAGCCTTTAAAAATTCTTCACTTCCCGAGTTCGCCATGGTCGACGACGTAACTGCTTCTAACGACGATAGCTTCAGGGAATGCAGAGTACAAAAACTAGCCGTAATGTCACGCAACAAAGTCAGTGTAGAACAAGAACCAAGATCAGCAAAATACGCTTTCTTGCAAAACACGGGTATCTAAATTGTGTTGCTCTTACGGCGTAGAATCATTGCGGGCTGTCTTGTTTCTATCAGTCCCACGTCACACATTGGACAGTCATTATCTTGAAATATGTGCAGGCTGCTTCGTCGACATTTGCGCTGGACTGCACTAAAGCTGAGCTGAACTGCACGTCACTGGCCTGGAGCTGGGTGTCAACTGACTAATTCGTGTTCACGGTCGTCTTGCACAAGCAAGTTCAAAAGAATATTAATTAGCAATGAAAATACACGCTATTTATCCTAATTCCACAGCTGGGCAATCCTCGTTAGCTAACTTGGCATTATCACAATACATCACTATTACAGTGACATTACCAAAACTCTAGTCTATAAATTTCCTTAAGAGAAAAAGATGACCGACGAGAAAAAAACGTAATATAAACATCAACCTACTGTTTTCCATCTTCCCCCAAATAAGAAAAGCAGTTTCAAGTTAAATTTGCCTCTTATATGGGTTAACCACCCCAACCAAATTAAATAATTTGCGGAGAGCCGTAAAGATGTTTGCACCACAACGAATGGTTGATAACTATCTTCAATGATATGTACAATGGAACGTGGGAATACTTGCCAATAGCTGTATGGGAAGTTTCCCATAAAGAATTACTATCTTGTAATTGTTCAACTGTTGTACTTTGTGTAACAGTTGTCAGCCTAAACCTAGTAAAAACATGTCGTCATACTGTGACCATTTCTACGATTTTTATCTGCAGTGTTTTTCTTCAATTTCCATTTGATCTGTTTAGACGTCGTTTCAAGTTGTTGTCGCATAATTTTGTACGCCATTTTTCTGTCTCAGAAAACATTACATGTTTGGATGATGTACTTTTTCCTATTTTTCACACAGTGGCCGTCAACACATTACAATAGAACAGAAACGATAGGTGATAGATAGATAGATATAGCGAGAGAATACTTTGTTCGAAATGTCAATTTATATTGAATAATTTTGCGATATTTGCCAGTGCACGTGCAAGAACTATGTAGATGACAAACCTAAAGTATATAGCATTATTTAGATTCTGAAAACATGACATTACTGCAATAGATATCATAGCCTCCGTTATTTGACAGAGGTGATAGTTAGATCGCAAGTATATGTTATTCAACTCTAAAGAAACATCTAATATTGCGATAGCTGATGGCCTGAAATACTGCTCGATAGTATTTTTGTGATAGATGATCTAAATGTCATTTATATTACAGTTTAAACAAAATACTATAATACTTTATAGGACCAAACAAATTGTTTTGTTGCCCTCAGCGACCGACCGAAAAATATGAAATATCGGGTCGCGTTTTTTTCCCATATATCGTGGCTATTTACGATACCCTTAGTTTTCACGAGTTTAAAAAAAAATCCGACCGACCGACAATTTTTTTCAATTTTCCGACTTGAGGGCAACATAAGTTGTTTTGTTTTTTGATGATCGAGCGCAGTTAGATAGTATAGATTCTCTGTGCTGAAATTCCGGCCCGGGATTCACGCAACTAAGTGGTGTATTTTGAAAACATACGACAATTTGTTCCACGCAAACCACTATGTAATATTGCAACATCGTTATTAAAAATGACATCACTTAGCATTAAGTCGTGAGAGTAATTATCCCTCGAGCAATTATATTCGAACAAACGAGGGAGTCACAAACTAACAGACAGACGTATTTATAACTGTTCTGGCATTGAAATAATTTCTCAGGGGATTTATTTATTACACCTTTTTGGAATTTACAACAAATCACTGAAAATCACAGCAATTGAGATTTGTTTTAATATTTATTTACATTTATGTATATAACATACATGGACAAACAAAACATATACATTACATTACAGAAGGCTTAATCTCAAGATATAATTTCAAAAGAAACCGTGTGTGGTGAAATCTAGCTACCTGAAAAATGAATACATAAATAAATAAATATTGACTATTTTAATTTTAATTTTAAAAGATATTTGTATCGTCTACACACGGTGTCCTTGTTGTCGTTCAAGTTCAAGTTTATGTATTTCTTCAGTCGATAAATTTATGTAAAACCTTTAACTTGTTTACCTAAAAACAAATCTTCTTACGGCATTAATAAAAAGGAAAACCTTTTATTTCTTCACGGGCTACAAATCGTTCTACGATTACATCACTTCTGCTCTCCTGATCGTGACAAATACTACGATTGACTATATGACGCCACGTCTATTCAGTCTTCCTGGTTGTAATTTATAATGACATGATTCAAGCATTTTTTTGTATTTTTTTGCCAAAATTCAGATATGAATATTGTTGATGTTTATTATATTTGGGTTTGAATGTAATATTCAAGGTAATACATGTTGTTGGATATCGAACATGACGTGGTTTCACATTGTAAAGTAGGTAGGATTGCTAACCTCTAACAAAGAAAACACGATTTGTAAGCTTGAATAGTGATCAACTAGATGAGATTCAGGGATTGAAGGACAAAAAAATACAAAAAAATTTCGAATTTTACGTGATAAAATTGCACCCGGGTAATTGTCATCGTCTATTTCGAAAACCACGGGATAACGCAGAATTCGGCGACGATATATGGTGTTGTAATTCTCCTCTGGGCGTAAATAAATTAGGGGAGATGATATATGTAATTCCGAAATCTCCAGATTTGTTTCGAGTGTACACCAACCACTGTATCAGAGCGACGGCGTGCACATTCCTTGATTCCAACTGAGTTGAGACGAGGCGTGTCATGTACGTGTCCTGTAACACAACGAGGCGAGTATCCGATCTTACACCAACACAGTTACCTCAGAACAGCGACCAGACTTGTCAGGCATACCGTCACAAAGCCTTGGTCATACCAAAAGAGGCATCCAGGTCAGATGTTGGGTCCGAGATCGCCGAGCGGGTCACCGTATATGATACACCACCGCGTCCCACCATGTCTCAAACTTCGGTCGAACCATGGACGTACTAACCTGGTCGAACAAAGTACCGCTGATAGCCAAATATCCACAGTTACAAGTGGTATGATGAGTCGGACATTCGATTTATTCCACAACTGTACTTTCAATGGGCCAATTACAGTCCAAATTGTACAAAATCGGGAAGAAAACATGGGAAATCAGTTATTTTATTGATTCAAAGTGTACTTGACTTGTATTCCAAATGACATTGACGTAGTCAGTGAAAGGTTAGGAAGGTCGTGTATATACGTCGTGAATTGGGCTATATCTCAAGATATACCCGATTTCGGCGGGGGGAGGGGGCATTGCTTAAATATAATATACGTTCAACATTGCTTGAAATTGTTTTGTAGTAAGCAAATGTCATCAATTTTGAGCAACAGGAACACCTATTGGTTTTGCTATTGTTTCCAGTGTCCTCAAGCACAAAAATGTGAACGATTTGACAACAGACTAAGCTGTGTCATGGCCATGGTCAACAGAGCACACCTTTTGGTTAAAGACATCCTAAGTGGTGTAATATGCAAATTAACTTCAATAGTCACAACAATACAACATTTCACAGGCGAAAGACTTTCAGCTATTGTTACCACTCACGGATGAACTCCACTTTAACAAATTCGACTCAAGAATCAATTAAAAATATATTTTTTTTATTAAACCATAACACCATGATTGTAAACTAAAATAAACTATAATTATATAATCGAAGCTGTTACTCATAAATAGCTCACAAAATGATCTAAAACCGTTCATCTTTTTTAACTGTATTCGATTTACAATTCAAATTGTAATGCAAATACTAAATAAACACTAGCAAAAGCATACTTATACCAGTAAAAATGTGTTACGCATGTATACATTAAGTAGACAACTATTGTCTGAACATACTTCTTCGGTAATAAAGAAAAGTTACATATATTACTGTGCATGGGTACAATGTGTGATCACGTAGGGACAGTTTAATCAAAGTATATCCACAAAGCGAAATTGGATACATCGAAAAAATCAAACACGTTGATCTCAGATTGGTGCGACTGTTAGATGTTAAGGCTTGGTTGGCAAACAGGAATAATCTTGTAAGTAGTTGCGCATTTATTACTATGTAGGAACGGAAGTTATTATTAAGGGTAAGACAAATAGAATATAAACTCGACTGGTACAGCGTATAAACGTGGATTAGAGAGATGCAAATTAGGAATACAAAATGGAAAAGTACATGGGTATATATTAGCAATAAGAATTATAAAACATCTAAGTGTGTGTTCGAGTTTAATTCGATTCCTGGTTCCTGAAACTTCATATCAGAGTACAAGGAGATGCTAACCCAATATAAACCATAATAAAATAAGCGAAACATCGTGATAGTAATAAAAAAAATATCCAAGGCTCAAGTTGATGAGCTATACTATGATGTAAACAGTGCTTAGGGTATTATGTCGTACCAGGATCTGAATGGTAACGGTAGAGAAATAAATCATTATAAATTATAAATTTGTCTGCGTGGAAATCCTATCAGCACTATGTAACCTGTTCTAAAATATAAATTTTACAATACGTCTTTAAACAAATTTTATTAAGTGTCAACCAAATAAACTGCAATGTTTTAAAAACATCTGAAGACTATAAACACAGTTGTAACTTTTAACTTTGTTAATCATATATATTTGATAGTACAAAACATACTTGAAATGACATCATCAATTCAAATAAGGCAGTTCTCGTTCATTTGTTATAGTTAACACAGCGACTATGGTTACCATGGACGTATCAGTCAAAACTAAATCATCCACATTTTTGGAAGTGACCTAAATTTGTTCTTATGAATTAGTAATATCGACCATGAAAGGTAATTTTGTGTTCCATAAATGAAGTTCAACTGTACTATTAGATAAGAAAGAGTTTAATATGTGATTACACAAGTACTAAACCCATTGTTACTGAATATGTGACATACAATATCGAATATAATTCATGTGTAACAATAGCCCTGGAATATGAATAGATGCGTACATGTATGTAGAATATGTCAACTTTTGAATCAATACTACATATAAAAATCAATATTAATTTTCTTATATAATATTGTTAACTGCTACACACAGAGCAAGCCAGATTGATTCAAAAGCATTTGCTAAATTCATGAAAATAAAAAAAAAAAACCTAGAATTCATTACAAGATTATTGTGTATTTAAGTACCACAGATACTGTGCATCGTGTGGTCCAATTTTGTGTAAAAAATGTAGTTACCACTTGTAGCCCAGTACGAGTAACGGTTGCAATGCCTTATGATGTACAAATCATTAAGACTGTGACCATAAACATCCCTATGCAATGGAAGCAGCCAGCAGAAACAATATTGAATGCATGATATACAGCACTGAAGTTATATTTAAAGTGTGACCTTAGTGTAGCAATGATCATTGTCAACAATTGTCATGAATCACTTGATCGCATGATGTACAGTTACAGTTATTCTGATCATGGAATATGAGAGTAGACTAGATATCTTGTTCATTAAAACACCTTCCACCATGCATTGTTGAATCCTGCACTTGAAGTAATATTAATTCAAGTAGCACAAATGCTACAACAGTGTATGTATTGCGGATGTGTTGATTCTCCTTCATACCACGCAAGACAAGCCTGTTTAGTCGCTAAAGTAAGAGAGCATATGCTTATTATTGAAGTTGTGTTATGTGCGAGTTTTTTTCTAGACCATGCATGGCAAGCCTGTGTAACTCATATAGTGATAATACAGTTATCACTGACATGATGTGTTCTGTATTTTTTTTCTGCAGCTCACAAAGTGTGCCAGTGTACCTGTTATAGGGATAATATTATCACCGATGTTTGTTTTGTTCTACAACCCACGCAAGGCTAGCCTGTCTAGCTGTAGTAATGGTCATACTGTTAACCCTGATGTTATGTTGTGTCTGTTTCCTCTACAGCCCATGCGAGGCAAGCCTGTCTAGCTGCTCTCATAATGCTCTCAAACGATTCATCACGGTTTATCATTGCTCCAAATAAATAACATGACTGGGTGGATCCAACAACATTAATTTCAATAGCCATTCCACCTCCGGGTAAAAATCCATATGGTTTTGCCTGAAATTATACATGATAACATAAAGTAAAAGAAATACTAAATTAATCATACACATATGATTGCAACGGTGCACATGTGACATCCATGTTCTCGTTTGTTAGTCTAATGATAAGTTAAGATGTATTTCTTTGTGTACATAATTAATGATATTAGATGGCTTATAAGCAACTTAATCTGAATTGATCCAATGTTTTGATGCCCTGTTAAAGTGACATTCGTATCATTCTTTTGTAACAATGGTACATTATGAATATATGCACCAATTTTGTTAACATGAATATACCAAAACATATCAGTAATATACTCAATGTACTCAACTATCATCATATAATTAGAATTCATGAGGTAATGAGTACAACCAGTTGCATTATGTGATAGAAGCAGTTTATGATGAGCTGCAGAAATGTTATTTGTCAGAACGAATTAAAGTGATTCATGTGAGCATATGACTTCAGTTAGAATTTGTGCATATAGCAGTGTCAGAATCTGTTTACAATGTATAATTTTATTTATTAGTCCACATCATGAAAATATCCTTGGTTCAGTGTAAATTTGTTATTTATTGTGAAAATAGGTAATTGAAAATATTGCCAAAAATGTAATTTTAACTGTGGTTATGATAGACCACAATGAAAACACATTTCCTCATAAAAACACTGAAAATATTGCCAACTTTGTAATACTTGTTAACATCTAAAAAATACATTGTAAAACACTATAATTATGTTTTTTTATCACCAAATGTCACAAAGTACAAATTTAGGATATAACCATACCACAGGACAAAATGCCCTAAGCCATTTCTATTTGCACTGTTGTACACTATATGTAGTGCCTATGATAGAATAATTACATACCTTTTCACAGGACGTAATATCCGTCAATGGAATAACTAGATTCTTTGGCGTTGGATTCTTTGATCTTTCAAAACAAAGGAAGCTGAAAAAAAAATTTAAAAAAAACACTGACGTGAATTAAACAAGCCAAGAATATAGTGGAACTATTACAACCTATGGATGGATAATTAACTAACAATGCAAACAATCCTTAACAAAACTAACAGACTTAGTTTTTAATATATTATTGAATATATTGATTATTTATTTATCTCACCTTCTTGTAAGAAATAGTTTTCCATTCTTGAAGGCACCTGTTAGGGGTTTTTCTTTGCTGATCAATGTACATCGCTTTCCACCTTGCCAATCTAAAAATGAAACATTCTCGTGAAATGAACAAATCCAAGAAATCCACCCAGGTTAGCTACATATACCGGTAAAATATTAAAGCAATTTGGCTCCTCATTTTTAAAAATGACACAGATATTCACCTAAAATTCAAGAACTGAATGTATTGTCAAGAAATTAACAAATCTGAGGGAGAATCATGCCTCATGCCCCCCTCCCCAAGCTTCTGAAATGTGTAATAAGTCCCACCTGGTAAAGGTGCTTCTGATGAAGGCAGTGCAAACAACTGACAGAATGCTTGGTTTTCGTTGCTCAATACACTTGCTGTGACAGGACTGGGAGTAACTGGTGCTTCTTCCACAGTTGGTGTTGAAGATGGTAAAATATACTGCAAACAAAAAATAAATATCATATTCCCAATTTCTGAACAAAAACTATATGGACTTGGATATCATTAACAACAAGATGATTACATTTGAGAAACTTTAATTGTGTCTTGTCTTTGTAATACATAATCCATAAAGACATATTTCAAAAATGGTTAAATAGACATAAAACACCAATATAGCTGACAGTTTGATATGTTGAATAAAATCCCGTGGTAAATGTTTAAATCCAGATATTTATTGAACAAAATCGAAAAAACATGTCCAAGAAATGATATTGGACGGACAGTGTAACCGAAAACACGAGTCCCCATTTCTGACTGTGATAGGACAAATAATGAGTTTCAGAATTTAATGTTTATTTGAGACAATCTTTACTTTGATTCATAGTAGGTTGCACATACCTGTTCTCTCTCAGCCATTCTCATTCTTTTAATCAGCACATCATCGGTCGGCAAGTTTTTCCAAATTTTGAATACAGTATCATAACGTTGTTGAACCTTGGGGAATTTCCGGTAAATATTGTTAACAATGAAAAATTTGATTCCAAGGAGCAAACCTAGTGTGCAGAATAAAAAAAAAAAGTTAAGTCAAAAATCAGATATGAGACAACAAATTTTCTTTTAACAATGTCATTAAGTAATTACAATGATACCAAATAAATATGATATCAAATATAGTGGCAGCATAGACTACGACTAAAGCCTCAACTCTGTATGATATATTGTGCCTCATACATTTTGTGGTATTATCCTGGTAATACAATTACTATACATCATCCCAGGCCAACTGATTTCTGTATCCCATGCAGGGAAATGCAAAGAAGTGAAATGTACTGGAACTTTGTTTTAAAGGACGATCACTAATTCAGGATATCACATCATTGTATTTATACATTAAAAACTACTTTTGGAGATAAAATGGTAAAAGTACAATAACAATTCTCTATATACTTACCAATAATTGTAAACAAGACTGTACCGGGAAGAAAACATGATGCAATGAAGGCAACACCCAGTGCCACATACAGTTTATATGTTGCCTCTGCATGCTGCCACATCACAAGGCTGTAACATTAATAAAAATCAAAGAAAGCTTAGAAAGAACTCCCATGTGCTGAGAGTATTGGAAACACATTAAATATAATTCGAAATTACTTAGCTGAAAACTAATTATGCAAATCAGAAAATTATTATG